TGACTAGAGAACCTGGCTAGGCTGCTGATCAACTGAACGCTGTCTCCATGTCATTTCTTCTTCGCCGACTCCGTCCACACCTTGGGAACCCCTGGACCTGCTGGGGTTGGACCCCAACACTGTCATTTTAACAAAGGTATTTTCTTTCTTCTCCCAAGGTATACTATCCAAATTTGGGATGGATGTGCATTGACGCCACCGATCCAGAGAAGGGGAACTGGCTGCGATATGTGAATTGGGCTTGTTCAGGAGAAGAGCAAAATTTATTTCCACTGGAAATCAACAGGGCTATTTACTATAAGACTTTAAAGGTAAGAGTGTTAGAATTAGTCTCTGTTACTCTGCATGCATTTTTGCAAATACCGTCCTTAGCTGTGACTGACAGTAACAACTTTGCAGACTTTGAAAGGATTATATTTGAAAGTGGTTCATCAACACATTGAAGGTCTGCGTTTTTAAATATCCGGTTGCCACCGCTTCATGTGCACAAGAGCACTGAAGCATGAAGATTGTGTCAAGTAATTACTTGCTGCATCTTTATAGATACTGAGGAGCTAAGTGTGTGGCAGCTACTTCCCTCCTCCTAAGATACAGATGCATTAGGAACTGTCTGACAGGCTGATTTATACAATGTAGGAAACCACCAATAGCTCTGGTAGTTCTGTGCTAACTGAAAACAATCTTGGTCTTCAGTGTAATGTAGCCTTGGATTAGGTTTTTCCTAAATTTTATTCAGAATTGGGATTAAGTAGAACATGTTTCTTCCTTTGTGAAATTTTTATTTGGAGACATTCATTGCTGAGATGAAAAGAAGAAGAAAGTAATTTTTTAGGGTTTGAGGTGAGGTCACAGGTCACTGAATACATCAGGGAAGTTAGTATTAGGAAGCATTGAGTGTGGCTGCATTTCTGCAAGAAGCAGGCCCCTGTCTGTCTCTTGTCACTTCTCTCTGAATGCAAATCTGCACTGGTCCTGCATGGACAAGTTCTCGAAGGCGGAGTCTTGAGGCTCTAAAGATAGATGATGGTTGCTTTTTGGAATAGATATGTTTGCTGAAATTGTTGTAAGGCAAATTTCTCTTTATTTACTGACTTCTATTAAAAATGTCATGGATTAGGGGGACAGTCTATGAAAAAATTATCTCCATGACATCAAAAACTCTAGTTGAGCAAGCATTTAGGATCATGGTCAGTATTGTGGCAGGCTGGGTTTTGCCTGTCTGGTAGCACTAGGGCTTCTGGAAGTTTAGTGAGCATAGCTGCTTAATTTTCCTGTCATTTTTAGACAATTGGATTGTCCTCTGCCTCATACATAGCCACATTCTTGCTTCCAGTCCCTGTAGGAGCGTTATTTTTGTTGTACTTTCTAATTTAATACTTCTATAGCCCTTTCATTTTCTTTCTGCTGTGTTGTAATAGCATGATTCTCTAGTAGGTATTACTATACAGTTTCATTACACTGGAATTTGAAATTAGATTTAAATTTGATTGAAGAATTTATTGTGTTTCTCAGATTTATTTAAAGTGGGAAGGTATATCTGGTTGAATCAGTGAGGCAAAATCCTGGGGGAGATGAAATGCCAGCAAAGGGATGAATCTGAGACAGTCAAGGAAGGAGAAAGGAGGTTTCTAGGGAGAGCAAGCCCAGGGAGATGTTAGGACACTTTGAAGTTCTGTCATCACACTGCTGTCTCTGATAGCAAATCTGAGAAACACTGAGAAGCAGGAGAGAGAGTATTTGGGAGAGTGAACTCTGAAGCTAGACTTCTGGATTAGATCCCAGCTTGCTGTGTGACCCAAGAAAAGTTCCCTTATTTGTAAGATATAGATAATAATTGTATTGACTTCATAGAGTGATCATGGTGATTTCTATGTACTGGTAGAGCTCTGTTGCCTAAGAAGTGCTAAATAAATGGTAGTTGCTATTTTTTTCGAGGTGGTATAATATGGTTAGGGGTGAGGACTGTAGCAGACTGCCTTGTGAGTGGATTTTGGCTTCCAGATGTGTGACCCTGAGAAGTTAATTAAACCATCTGTGTCTTAGTTTTTTCATCTGTAAAAATGGAGTTAATAGTAAAATTAATATATAGTTGTTGCAAAGATTAAGCAGGATGGTATGAGTAAGGTTCTGTGATGTGTACCTAGTCTCACCCTAGTACTCTAACTAGCTGCACTGCTACTATTATTTCTATCCATCTTCTTCTGAAGTAACATAGTTCTGATCTTTGCAGACCTCCCCCAATCCTGACCTTAGATGTTTGCTCAGGTATGCACAAGACCTTTCAGAATTCTTACTAGTGATTATCTAACTACAGATTAGGCTTTCTGTGAGTTAGATTTTGTAAAAAAATTACGTGATGCTCTTCTGGGCTCACCTTCTCAATTGTCACCCTGATAACTGGAAAGTCCCAATGTTGATTTAGTTGGTAATATAATTAAAAAGTATTTTAAAGCTTTGAAAGTTAACTGTTAACCTGATATCCATTCTTTTCTTCATTAGTTTGACAAATATTTATTGTCTAGTAGGTACCAGGTATTCTTCTATAGTAGTGAACCAAACAGATAAGATCTCTGGTCTCATGGAACTTCCAATTTATGGGGAGGAAGCAAGATAATAGGCAAGTGAGTAAGTAAACAAAATAATTTCAGATCTTGATGAGGGCTTAGAAGAGAATAAAATGTGATAGAGACTAGGGAGAGGACTGCTTTATCTCTGGTGGGCCAGGGAAGATAAGTCAGAATGAATTCCCCCCACTGGCATGTGTGGTCAGCCAGCCACACAAAGATGTCTGCAGGAAGAGCAGTCCAGGAAGGGAGGCCCCAAGAAAAGCAGAGATCTTCAGGTAGGAATATGCTGGAGTTTTTGTTGTTGTTGTTTTTAAGGCCATTGTGGTGGGAACAAGGGAAAGAATGTTAAATGAGTCTGGTGAGGTGGGCAGAGTCTGCGGAGTTGTCAGAAAGGAGAAAGAAGTATGAGTTTTTAGTCTTCAATTCAGTTCACTCATTCCAGAGTTGAGGCTTCTGACCTGTGACTTTTAAAAGGTCAGGTTGGGGACTGGATTATAGGGAAAGCATGGAAGTGCTTTGTGTTCCTGTAATTCTGGAGTCTTTTATTTTGACTTAGTGTCAAGAATGTTTTTTGGAACCCTTGCCTCTTCTTATTTGGTCTGTTAAAATTTCAAGGTTATATTTACTAGTATTTAGAGAAGAGAGTATGCTTGATTATGGTAAGTCTGTCAGAATCCAGAGGAAAAGTTGGAGGAGTTTAAAGTCTTTCTGTTATTCTGGTTACATTTTTTTGTTAAACAAATGTAACATCAACATACAGTACATAAAAAAAGAGGTTGTTTGGACTTTTTGACTTTATATTTTTTATATGCAGCTTTTATATTTCCTGTGTTTAAGAACAAAATTTTTCGTTTATTATGAAGTTTGACTTATAAAATCTTAAATGTGCTAAGCAGTAAAGACAAAAAATAGTACAGAGGCACACAGTCATTGATTTAAAAAGAGAGATGGTATTTTCCTCTTCATAAAGGTCTGTTATTTGTGTATCTGGATTAATATGAAGTTGGGACGTATATGGTTCAATAATATAATCACCTCAGTTGCTACAAATTTTGAAGGTTATTCAAACAAATCATGTTGCTCTTAATTCATCAACTCATTAGCCATTTAGAAATTTTATATTAGATTGAGGTAAGAACAGATTCTGGTATGGTATTTTTTTTTTTTGAGGGGGGCATATTTTTATATTGTGTGTTTTGAAGTGAACAATTTGTGCTGATATTTAACATCATCCAGTTGCTAGCACAGGGTATACAGGTGGTACCCTCAGAAGCCTGGAGGGGATTGGCCACGGAAGCTTACACTCGGAGTCTGGGAGGAACCTGGAACAGGGCTAGAGGGTGTCTTCACACAGTGTCCTGGTTGTGTTGTTTGGATTAGGAATAAATTGGAAATGCATTTTTTTTTCTCACTCCTTTCCATGTTCTTCTTTACTTTGGTTTTATTTAAGTCTTTACATGTTTCCACAAACTCTAATCATTTCAAATATTTATGATACCACCATTTCATAAATGCGACTTAACAACAAAAAGTCGAGAAGCAAACTGTACATTTGGAACTATAAATGGTTTATTTAAACAAAAAAGCCTGTTCCTTTAACAGAAACATATTATCTCATCAGAGTGCTAAAAAGTATTTAATGGCTATTTAATTCATAAAAAATCTTATATATAAAATCTTATGTATTTTAGCTCATTAAAATCTTATACATATTAGATTAGTATTTTTTTATGTGTGTTTTGTTTGTTTAGGTTTAACAGACTCAAGAAGGTAAATGATAGTACATTGGCTTAAAGATAAGAAAATGGCAGGTTTTAACCATCCGTGGGGAAGCAAAGGAAACGGTGGCTTATTTTAAAGACTTTAGAATGTTTTAATATTTGAACTATATAAACTGAGTTTTGCAGAGAATGAAACAAAATAATATTTAATTTAAAGGGCATTATCTAGAAGGTATGTTGAACTTAGGAACTATGTTGTTTCTAAACTGACATCTTGTTTACAAACAAGGGCATCTTCCATAACCTATAGTGCAGTGATCTAAAGCAGGATGCTGATAAGGTGTATAGTTTATTGGCTAATCTATATACCTTATTCATATTTTGTCAATTGTTCCAATCATGTTTTTATAGGAAAAGAAAACCCAGTTGCATTCAGTTATAATGTCTTTTTATTAGTCTCTTTAGTTTGCTTTTATGGCCTTTCAGTTTTGAGAGAGCTGGTCAGTTATTTTGTAGAATGTCCCACAGTTTGGGCTTCTCTTGTGTTTCATCGTGATCAAGTTACATTTATTCATGTTGGGCAGAAATCTCCAGAAGTGATGCTGTGTTCTTTTCTGTGCATAGTATCAGGAGGCACATATGTCTAATATCATTATAAAGATAGTTTTTAACTTTGGAACTAGTAAATGTTTTAGGGGGAGATATTTTGAAACTTTGAAAATATTCTGTTATTCTTCAAATTTCTGCCTATAAGTTCATTGATAATTCTTGCCTGAATCAATTATTACTGTGATAATTACCAAGTAGTGATTTTCTAATTCCATTTATTTTTAATTGAATTTGTTGGGGTTATATTGTTTAATAAAATTATATAGGTTAAAGTTTATAACTATAATACATCATCTATATATTGTATTGTTTGTTCACCATCCAAAGCCATCTCCTTTCATCACTATTTATCCCTCATTTTCCCTCTTCTACCTGCCTCCTTTATTTCTTTTTTAGTGATTAGTTGGGATCTGCTTTAATGAAGTTTTCCTTCTTACTTATTTATTTGTTCATTCATTCATTTAGATCAGTATGGACTCATTGATTCTTATTTTATTCATAGGGTTTTAGGTAGAATGTTACTTGTGTTGACCCTCTCGGAAGTATTTGAACAGATGAGTCATTGTGAGAGAAACCAGCCAGACATTTCCCTAAATCCTGTTTAGGAGAGTAATCTTTACACTCAGTATATTTGTTCTTCAGGGTCTTGTTCTAGGTGTAATCAGTATGTTGGTGGTATATGTCCTCACTACTGACATGAAAGTTAAGAATTAATGTTTTAGGAGCATAATACATGTGACGTATTTTTAGGTATTTCCTTGTAAATTTGTCATGTAAACTCGATGTGTGGTACAGAGGGTGAGACGGTGAATTTTCTATGGACCTGAGTAGAGAATTTGAACTATATAAACAGTGAGTTTTGCAGAGAATGAAACAAAATAATAGGTGGTGGCAGTGCACAGATAGACCCTGTCCTTTTAGCTTTTCCGTGATGTAATTAGCGGCGACTTGAAAATGTGCAGTGGCATGTAGTTCTTCCTTATCAGGCTTAACTTGCTCTTGGAATCTGAACCGTGCACTGGTAATTAGATTTCAGCACTTCTCTTTCCAAACCTCCTGGTTCTTTCTAATTGTGCTTGAAATTGCTCATCAGCTAGATTTCATGAGCAAAATGGTTCCGGGCTTTTCTTTTTTTCCCTTCTGTAAGGCGTTGAACAGTAAGATTCGCAGCATATGGCAGTTTTGAGTTTAAAGCAATCTCTCTAGGTCCATAGATGGCCTTATGGACCATGGAGAGGAAGCGGGCGGGAAGTGAGGTCCTCCCTCCAGCAGAGGGTTCCTTCCCGCAGCCGCCGCCCGCCGCCGCAGAGGGTTTCGGAGCCCTTCCTGCCCGGCTGGCCTCTGGCTCG